AGCAAGGTTTTGGGGGTTGTGTGTGAGGGAGGGTCTGTGCAGCAGGGGGGCAGGAGGTGCTTTAAAGGGTTTCAGAGATAGAGCTGAACCCCATCACTGGGGCATGTGTTTGGGGATCTGGTTGATGAAGAGATTTTGGGGGGGTTGTTTGGGGTGGAGGGTCTGGGCTGCAGGTTTGGGGTGGTGAATGAGTGGGGAGGGCCTGGAGGGTCTGCTCTGGGGGGGGCTTGAGCACCAGGAATGGGCATGGGAAGTTTGCACCTGAGGAGGCAAAGCTGACCCCGGGTTTGGGGGAAGGACATTTGTGGGACAGGCTGGTGAGTCACCAGGTGAAATGGGGAGAAGGGTCAGTGCCCCCCTGCCCTGCAGGTGAGGGGCTGTCAGGTGCCTGTGGGCTCTGTGTTTTTTGGCAGCTGGGGTGTCCTCTCCTGCCCCTGACCTGGAATGCTCGGCTTTGTCACCTACTGCCTGTGGCCTTTGGGAATTTGGGGGTTGGCTGGAGCTGTGCTACCTTGATCCCATCCTCAGTGGGAGAGTTGGCTCTGTGTGGCATCCAGCTACAGCCTGTTGAATTCCTCCAGTGACTGTCAGAGAAGTTTGGAGTGACCACAGTGAGGTTTAGGTGTGATAGTTTCAATAGCACCTTTTTGATAAGCCAGCCTTGGTGCTGGAATTTGGGAGGACCGTTAGGATCACAGGACATCTGGGTCATTGTGGGTTATAGAGCCTCATCTGATCATCGATTGTGCTGCTTTTACTGACCTTTGATTGAAGTATCCTCAACTCACCCGCTCTCAACAAGTGGCAGAGTTGCCTTAGTTGTTAATTATTAATATCCTCAATTATCTCCACTTTCCGAAACGAAGCGAACCTTTAAAAACAGGTTTTTAACTGAACTCCTTGTTGATGTATCTTTCCATGGATTTGCTGTGTTAGGTATGGAAAAGAACTGGATTCTTTCCTAATTGATAATCTTTGGTGATAATTAAGTAATCCCCTTATCTTTCTTGTTAAAACAACTTGACTTTAAGGCGGCTCTCTGAGGTCTCTGATCATCTTGTAGTTATTTCTACCAGCATTTCTGGCTTTTAACTCCGTGTTGAAGTGATGTTCTCTGAGCAGGAGGGTGGCAGTCCATTATTGATTTCACTGATGAGATATAATCTGATAGTATTGTCTTTCTCCTTGATACCCCTTTCCAAGGCTCCCGTTAGTCCCTTTTGCTCCAGACTCGTGTCAGGATTTATTGTTCACGTGGCATCTGCAGTGCTGCCCAAAGTCCTTCATGTCATTGCCTTCCCTCCTACAATTCCCATTCCTATAGCAGGGCTGGCGTTTTCCAGCCTTGGGAATGACCTTGCATTTGGCTGGTTTTAAGATGTTGTTTGGAAGTGCTTATCATCAGGGAAAACAATTTTTATCGGCTCTTCAGCAGCGTAATCCCAGGGATGGGGCTTTTTCTCTGGCGTGCTGACCTTGGTGTGAGGAATGCTGGTCCTACCGCGCTGTCTGCTCTGAAAGTTTTGGGTTTTGCTTGCTTTGGGTTTTGATTCCCACGGGAATGGAGAAGGACAGAGCTTAAATGCAGTCTGAAATTGGAAGGAGAGCCCTTGACCTGTGATTTGAGATTAGACTCTCAAAAAGAGAAAATGCGTAAAGAAGCATATGAGAGAGTGGCTTTTTTAGGGGAGTGAAGATTGAAAACTTGAAAATTGCTGAGGCAGGAACATACTTTGGGATGGACATGCAGGCCGAGCATGTCTTAGTGTTTGACATGAGGAACAGAATGATGCTTGTCTGGAAGGAGTCAGATGTGTTTCCCAGCCTAAATGATCCCACAATAATGGGAATTTTGGTAGTGCTGTAGTTTAAAGTTTGAGCAAACTTTCTAGTCTAGCTAGGAAGAAACCACTTGACCTTGGAGAGTAGAAGAAGGGCTCTGCCCTCATGGATGTAGGAATGAATATACAACTTATTAAATATTGCTGCTTGTTGTTGGGTTTGTGGTGGTGCAGGAGAAGTGCTCGTGGAAGGGGAGCAGAGCAGCTTGTCAGCTAAGCATGATTTAAACGCACTTCTTAAGTAGTTCTATGGTTTTACATGTAAAACAAAGTTATGAAATATAAAGCTCTAATCACTGCTGACCAGGAAAGAAATTAGATGTCTAGTGACTTATATCACATCTGCTCATGTGATGCTGAAGTGGCACTGAGACTTTTCAGGGCACTGAAATCACCTGATAACTGCTCTTTAAAAAAAACAAACAATACCCACCACAATAAAAACAACAAACAAAAAAAAACCAAACAAAAAAAAACCCCAACCAAACAAAAGAAAACAAAACTAGAAGTGTTTTTCAAAGGCCTTTCTGGTCATGCTCTCTACTTGAAGATCAGTAATCTATGGAAAAACACTAGGTTTTTTTTCAGTGACACAGAAGCTTCCTCTGGTGAATGCTGGCACCTCTCCTCTGGCATTTGGTGCTGGTACCATGGAACTGACGCTGGATTCAGTGTCTGTTTTACCAGGGCTGCAGCTACCTGCATGTTTACAAAGCCCTTTCCAAACATTAAGTGTGGATTATCCTTCTGCAGTCTGCCAAGGAATCATTCTCCTGTTTTTTCCAAACCTCTGGAGTTGCCCTCTATTGGTTTGTAGCTGCCAGCAGGAACACTGACTTGGATATTTACTTTAAAAACTCTGTGGGTAAAAGCGAAAGAGTTGGTCTGGTAATAGTGGCTAGTTCAGTTTGCACTGAGGGGAAGTTTTTGCCTTTGGGAAGAAAGTTGATCCAAGAGGAAATTTGTTGTTGAAACATCTGGTGCTTCCAGAGACGCTCTGCCTGTGCACAGGCATTGGTGCATTGAGAGGCTTCAGCTTGTCCAGCTTGGAAAATGTTCAACCCCCCTGAGACTCCTCCATCACATCCCTTCCTTGTCTCTCTGGGGTTCCTCCCCAAAGGAATGGAGCCACTTGGGAGGCTGATCCCCGATCCCTCACAAGGGATTTCCCCACCACTGCCAGTCCCTTCACAGGAGGGACACAAATGAGTGCTTGGTGCCTTTTGCCATACACTGAGAGAGGAGACTTGGAATTTATTCCCCCCTCTCCTCTGCCCTTCTGCAGGAAGTGATGAGCTCAGTCACTTTTTTTTTTTTTTTTTTTTTTTCGGAATGTCACCTTTGTCCAAGCTTGGAGTTTTGTTTTGTTTTATTTTGTGTTTCTTTGGTAAGAAAAGAATCAAGAGCTTTTACTCTGCATTCTGAGAGAAGCACTTGACATCCTGATATTTTAGTAACCTGTTTTTGTACCTGCTCCAGTTTGAACTTCCTCCTGAGTTGGGTAAGGGGTGACGTGCTGTGCTCTGTGCATGGCAGCGGTGCACCCTCTTCTGCTGCCAAATTACTGTATCCAAGGACCCTGGTTTGCAGTGGAGGCATCAGACTCGTGACTGG